CCCTCCTCACTCTGCCGCCCGCCCGCGCTCGCTCTCTCGCTCTCTCGCTCTCTGGCTGGCTCGCTGGCTGGGCGCTCCACAACAGCCGCCGGGATTGCAGGGCTGAGCGCGCCTCCGTCCGCCTCCCGCACGCCTGCCGGGGCTCCCCTGGCCGGCGCCCCCTCCCCGCCCCGCCCCTCCCCCAGTCTGGAGTCCCCTCCCCCTCACTTCCCTCACTCTCTCCCCACGCGCGCCGCGGGACCGACTCGGAGCCTCCGAAAGCCTAGCCCGAGAGCAAGAGAAGCGGCCGAGCCCCAGCCCTCCCTCCTTTCTCCTCCTCCGTCTTCCTCCTTCTCCTCCTCCTTCCTCCTCCTCCTCCTCCTCAGTCTCTCCTCTCTCCTCCCTGCTCCTTCTGGTCAGCCCAGTCCGTGGGTCTCCCACTCGCTTGGCTGGTGGATCCCCGCAGCAGCCACCACCTCCACCGCGGTCTCCTCCAGGATGCCCGGGACCGGGCCGCCAGCCGCGGGGCGCCTGCCACTCTCACTATTGCTGGTCCTTCTGCTGGGGAGCCAGGCGGCTCAGCTAGGAGGTAGGAGAGAGCTTCCCCTCAATCTGTGCTGTAGCGGGGGGCTGTGGAGGGGGCGCGGCGGGCAAAGTTACAGAGAGTGGAGGGCATCAAGACGCTGAGGTGGGGGTGCGCTTTGGAGTCAGGTCCGACCTGGGGCTGTGCTACGAGACCGGGGAATTCCCTCTTTCCCTGCGCTCGGACCCCACGGGTAACCAGAACAGACTCGAGTTGGTGGTCCCTTGCTCTTTCCGGGTCAGGGTTGTCCCGGGCTCTGGTGATCACCCCCCCCCCCAACACACACCCGTACACATACTCCAGGCCAAAAATAATCTCCTCACCCACCCGGGGTCCCCGGGATATGAAAACACAAACGAAACTCCGGGAAGGGGTTGGGGGGGGCGGTAATCAAGGAAGGGTGGATGGTCTTGGGACTTGATGGAACCGTGGAGAGGGTCGAGGAGTTTACCCCAGAACCACTCGTTCTCCCGTCCAGGCGTTTCCAACGGGGATGTCCCGGATTGGGAGTGGGGGAGGGCTCGGATCTGTGTCCCCGCTTGGATCCCGGGGGGAATTGAGCTCTCTGCGGAGACGCCTCAGCCCTGCGGCCTCCCAGCAACTTCTAGGGCGCAGCTTCCCAAGGGGAAGACCTGATCTGAGCTGGGAACTTTAGGGGAGGGGGAGGATGAAAGGGGGAAGCAGTCTCCTAGCTTGAAAGAACTCCCATATTAGGGAACCCTAGTGGACTCCACCCCTCCTTCTTTTTCACAGGCTAAGATCTCCAAGCGCCACTAGCTTAGAGTGCTGAACAGAAGGTCAAGACTGCTTTCAATGGTCCTGCGCTTTCCTGGGGAAATAGAAGGGTTTTAAGAGAAAGTGGCTCCTTAAAGCCCTCCGTTCTCCCAGTCCCCGACCCTACCCTCCTCCCTACTCCCCTAACCCCACAGGTACCTTGGACAGTCTCTCCAGGAAAAAAAAAAAACTTGAGAGAGGGGAGGAAGGGGAAGACATCCTAAACTCAGCGAGGGATGACCCAAAGAGTTAAGGATTTGGAACTCAAGGACTCTGAGGAGGCTCCATTATTATTTCTCTATCAACCATCGCCAGCTACACACTCCTCAGTACCGGGAACAGCGCCCCTCATGTTGAAAGAACTAACAGGGCTGGGGCGGCCCAGGTTACGGGTAGCGGGAGGATATCCTAAGCAGAAACCGTTTGGGGACAAACATTTGCCTAGTTCTAGCCTCTAGTCTGGGTTGCCTCTGACCCCAGGCTGGGTTGAAGCGGCTCATCTCTTCTCTTTGGCCAGAGCCCAGGCTCTCCCACACCTGCGTGTTCAGCACCAGAGCCTGCGGACAGCTCCCAGCGCGGGGGCGCCTTGCTTTTTCTCCTTCAAGTCTAGTTTTTCCAACCAAAGCAGGCTTTTGAATGCATCCAACAGGCACTATTAGAGCCAATTGACTCTGTGACTACGTGTGCAGACTAGAGAGAAAATAATACATAACCCTTGGTTTAACAAAGCATATCGTTAAAGCCCCCGGGCTTGATGAGCCAGTCATATTCACAATTTACGCCAGGCTTGGGCAGTCTCTTTCAAAACAATTGCTTGATTTAAATAAATTCCTTCTTGCCACAGCATGCCCCCATCCTAATTAGCTGTCTCTTTCAGCACAAAGACTTAATGCCTTTGAAATTTTCTCTGCCCCACCAGACCACCCCCTTTTGAAACCGGGCACTCACAGGATAAAGAGAATCCACCCTGTAGAATCCCGAGATCCTAAAAGAGAAGTCATCAACCAGAGAGAACTCTGCCCTCAAACCATCATTATCTCTTCCCACCAACCCTTCTCCCACTCTTCACTAGCAGCCCCTCTCACAGAAGGCAGGGCTTAAAGACTAGATGGTGACATTTTGCACTAAGCCAGGAATTTTGATTGTGAGTTTCTTTTACCTTGGCAGATGGGGAAACTGAGTCCCAGAGAAATGAAGTGATTTACCTTAGTCCAGGCAGCAAGTTAGTGGCAGAGCTAGAGACTACAACCCAATTCTCCTGACTTCAAGTTCAATGCTTTTTCCACTACAAATTCCCTGCTCTTCCAATGATGCCTCATATTTTGTCCAGCTGCCCAATGCTGCATGGCTAGCCAGCATATATTTTTAATTAACTTTAGGTCAGCAACAAATTATAGTCAACTGATGTAATACTTACCAAGGGCCCACTAATAACCATGCTATTCTAACTTCAAGACATTAACTCATAAGAGACTGAGTGAAGATAGCCAAGAGATAGTTCCTGCTAAGATGGTAGCATCAAAGGTGGCCTACATTACATTTGACCTTCATATTAAATTTCCATTTTTAATGTCAAGAGGCAGAGACATATACTGTAAAGAAGCAAGTCTTGCCTTTGGCATCAATGCTGTTGTATGACCTTGGGAATTATGTAACATGACCTCTATGGACCCAAGTTTACGCATCTATAAAACAAGGGGATTGGACTAGTGTAGGATTCTTCCTGAATCTGACATCCTATGTTGTAGCTTCCTTTTTGAGCTCCAACGTTCTCTGTTCTGTGTCCCAAGGTCCATTCCAACTATTATCTTCTGTGTTCTAAAGTCCCTTTCAGCTCTGACAGTCTGTATTCTGTGTTATGAGGTCCCTTCCAGTACCAACATCTCATGTTAGAAGCTCTCTTCTATCTCTCACTTCTCTGTCTCTCTAATAAAAGACCCCAAATCCATTCGTGCCTGATCTAGAAATAGTCACTGATGGATAAAGCCTAAATCCAGAACTCCCTTTTGGAGAAAGTTTGGAACACTTGAAAAGGACTTGCTTCCATGTGACTTCTCTTTTGTCCACGTGCCATTTTATTTTAAGACATGAGAAAGCAAAATCTGATTCCTGGTGATATATCATGCCAGTGGTGGTATATCTTATGGGGAGACTTGTGGAAGGAAATGGTAGAAAAATGAAGGCAGGCAGTGCCATAAATGTGAGGTTGTATTAGTTCTCTTGAATTTTTAAAAGAAATATTCCTTATGAGTCTGAGATTTGCTATTTCTGTATTCTGAGTTCAAATCCAAGCTCAACTGCATGTATGACCTTGGGCAAACTCCTTTCTTTCTCTGGTCCTCAGCTTCCCATTCTGTAAAATAAGAGAGTTGCTGCCTTAAGTTCCTTCCAGTTCTAAGTTCTTTGGTGCTATGAAATCCAAACCCAAGGTCTTGTGGTCACATGGCTAAGCATTGTCCTTGTAAGTTTGTGTTTACTCTTTGGTTCTTCCTTTATGAGTTCCTTGGATTTCCATTTATAGTTGTTTCCTCAGGAGGATCTCTCTCTCTCTCTCTCTCTCTCTCTCTCTCTCTCTGGCTGATGGAATCTTACTGGTGTTCAGATGATTCAGTTGGGCACAAATAAGTCAAATGATTCATTCTGTCCCCCCTTCCAGCAATAAATGATGTATCCCATCAGGCTGGGGTGCCTTGTTCTCTACATCGAGCTTCCTCTCCCCAAACCCAGCTGGGTCAGAAGGAAGAGGAAGGTGATAGCTTTTACCCACTCAACCCTCAGGTACGTAAATGAAATGAACCATTAAGAGAGAGCCCTGCCCTGATTTCAATTTGTCTTTTTGTTCCCTTTGAAGGAACAGTGTGGCCTAGTGGAAAGAGTGCCAGACTAGGAGTCAAAAGACCAGAGTTCAAATCCTCACCCTACCACTGACTAGCTGGGGCACTTTGGACAAATGATAACATATCTGGACCTCAGTTTCCTCCTCTGTAAAGTGGAGAGGTTCTACTAACATGACCTCTTAGGTTCTTTCTGGCTTTAAGTCTACTCAATTCCTATGCTCTTCAGTATCATAACCATTCCCACCCAGAGTTCATGTCTATAAGGGAAATACTAGTGGCCACCATCCTTCAAGGCTTAGCTCAGGTTCTGCACCTTCTATGAAGACTTCCCTTATAAACAACCTGCCCCAAATCATAAAGTGATCATTCTATTCTCAGATTTCACAGTCTTTTCTGTGTATCTCTTACATATTTACTGCCCTTATTATGGTTATTTGTATATGAATGATCTTCTATTAGACATGAAGTTCCATAAGAACAAAGATCAGCTCCTGCAATGCTTAGCACAGTTCTCTGACCTCAGCAGGTGCTTAATAAACGTTTGTTGAGTTGAATTGTTGAGCAAGAACAAAAATGGTCCCTTCTGTGTCAAGGAGGAAGATGAGGAGAAAGAGGATGTGGGGTGGTGATTGGCATGACTATGAGGGAGGATTCTCCCAGAATGCATTTCTCTAACAGCAGGGACATCATAAATGCACAAAGGTCCTTCTGTCCTTTCACCACTTCACAGCATGCAGTGGCTAAATGCACTGAACTGGATGTGAAAGGCCATGAATGAACTGTTTAAGGGAGCCTGGTTGGCCCTGGCTTACCTCTTCGGGGGCTCAGGTGACAAGCGCTTTGGAACAGGCAGCCAGAGTCCATCATGAGAGTTGAGCTGACACAAAGAAAGCAGACCCTTGGTGCCAGAATGAAGCAGATGGCTGTGACAATTATCTGGGTGATCTGGGCCAAAGTCATGGGGGTTGGGAGGGAAAGGGACTTGCCTGGATTACCCCACATGCTTGCGTTTGGCTTCCCAGAGTTTGGCATGGGCTGGTCCCTATGCTGTAGCTCTTTGCTGCTTAGCCTCAGAAACTGAGAGATCCTGGTGTCTCAGGTTTACCTTCCAGAAGATATGGGCTCTTGTGGGCCCTTGCAAGGAGGCAGTACACAAAGCAGGCTCATAATGTAAAAAGAAGCTCCTAGTTAGATTGCTCTTGCCCAGGACAAAGGGATGAAAATCCAGAAATATTGCTTAAAAAAATGCATATGAAGTAGGAAATGTCCTGGGAAGGGTGACATGGTGAGAAGGAAGAGAGATATCAAAGGCGTCCTAACTAATGATAAAAGCAATAGACTTAGAAATCAAACCACTCTCGGGGCAGCTAGGTGGCACAGTGGATACAGCACCAG